ATAAATTTAATTTTTAGCTTAGGAAAAAGTTAATAAATTACAGTTTATGTATTTTAAAAATAACTAATTAAAGTAACTAATAAATAGTTAATTCATTTAAAATTAACTAAGTTAAATTAAAAGTTATTAACTTTTTAACTATAGTTACTACTCCTCTAATTCTGTTTTTAACATATAAAAATATTTAAAAATAAAAATGAAAACCCAGATGTACTTCCTTTTTTATGATAGTTTTCTGATTAATCCTGAAAATTAAATTATTCTATATATTTATTATTGATTACAAAATTGTATTTCTTTAGATGCTAGAAATACTTGTAAAAATGCAAATACCGTCAGTGTATCCGTATAAAAATGAATTCGCGCCTATGCAGATATAGAAAACAAACGCACGTGGGATTTGCCTATAAACCGCGCAGCTGCAACGACCAACGACATTGCAGCTGTAAATATGTATACGTCATGCACACGCGGATGTGTTGAATCGAGTTGCCATCCGCAACTTGGAAAAATTTTATTACGACTTTCCCTTTCGCTCGAGCGACGATGTAACATTGTTGTTGTCATACATATTACATCATTGTCAATCGTAACTGCATTTAACTCTTACAATACAAGATAATGCAGATTGTTAAATTACATTATGAAGTACTAATTCATTACACAAGAATATAAATTCTGTACAAATTCTAATAACAACGTTTCAAAATTATGCACAAAATTGAAATTCACTATTTTAGAACGTTTCATATATGTTTTTTTTTTATGATTGCAGAGATTCTTAGAATAAATATAAATATAATTATAATAATATAAATATAATTAAAATTAAATAATTAAATTAAATAATAAAGAAAAAGTCATAAATTACCTAATGTCACTAAAATTCCAAAATATCTATATCTAAATGAAACAAATAAAATGATTATTCATAACTATAAAGTTATAATTATTCGTAATATAAATTTTCTCGCAATAGTAAATATCTTTTAATTAAATAATTAAAAATAAAATTCTATTAAAACAAACATTACGTGCATTTAATTTTATATAAAGTTTTTATTATTTTTTTCTCGCAGAGAGCTTATTCTTAGGTTATTAGTTTTTCCTCTTACCGTTTTTAACTTAAACTATTGAGAAATATCGATATATCGATATTAAACCATTAGTGTTTTTAAATATTTAATTATCTTATATAAGAAATATCCTATTGTTTTGATTTTGACAATCGACATGTAATATACACATTTTAAATCAAGTCTTATATATCGATAAGAATAATCTCGTCATTATTCTTCGATGCAAACGTATGTAGGCTCATGAGCCAATATAATATGTAAGGAAGGGTCATACAAAGACTCACATACAAATAATAAGGAATGGGACGGGTTGATCCGAAGGGATAGAACCATAAGCCTCTTCTGGTACCATCTCGTATATGATGACTTAGGAAGGCGGCCAGTATCACCCAGGAAGTCTGTTCCAATACAGGAGAATGAAAAGTATTAGAAAGTGAGATGAGGAGTATCCATAACATAATAGGAATGGTGGTGCAATGTAGAAATGGTCGTTTTTGCAAATGCGTGGCATCCTGAAAGAATACATAAAAACAATGATCAAGATAGAAAATAA